TGTCCACAAAGGAGATGAGTAATCCACTATAAAATATAAGAGTACAAAATACAGAGAGAAACAACCTCAACCAATTCACCCGGAATACATCTGAGTTTCACACAAGTGATAACGTATCAAGCCTGTGACCCACAAATTCTCCCTCTAACCAAAAACTCTCAAAGCCCTTAAGACTACATTGTGAATGCTGATTAAGTTAGAAGGAATATGCCTCTATTTATAGAGTCCTAAACTTTTTCCTACAAGAAAAGGATTAGTCAATCCAAAACCTTTTCCTACAAGGAAAACCTATTTATAGTAAGAAATTTAGGGCAAATAAAACCCAACAAATCTCCCCCTTGGCCTGAATTTCTGACAAAATAAATTTGTCCACCTTCTTGACTTAATCTTCAACAACTTGCTTCTCCTCTCCATAATCTCCATTGCAAAATTTATGTCTCAACACAAAGAATCTATCTGAAACAATTTCTCCAACAAAATCTTCATTATTGTCAAAAAGGTTACTGCTAGAACTACACCGCCAAGATGAACACATCTTTCTAACCTGGTTCAATCATCGATTATCGAACCACTGAACTTGACTCCATCATTGAATCTTGCTCTGATACCACTTGTTAGGACCGAAAATAAGCAGGTGTAAATGCGGAAGCTAGCAATGCAAACCTCGAAAGATCACGAGTAAGAAGACAACGAGAAATATACCAAAAGACACAAAGATTTAACGTGGTTCGGTCAATCAACCTACGTCCACAAAGGAGATGAGCAATCCACTATAAATATGAGAGTACAAAATACAGAGAGAAACAACCTCAACCAATTCACTCGGAATACATGGGAGGTTCACACAAGTGATAACGTATCAAACTTGTGACCCATAAATTCTCCCCCTAACCAAAACTCTCAAAGCCCTTAAGACTACATTGTGAATGCTGCTTAAGTTAGAAGGAACATGCCTCTATTTATAGAGTCCTAAACCTTTTCCTACAAGAAAAGAATTAGTCAATCCAAAACCTTTTCCTGGTGAAATTTAGGGCAAATAAAACCCAACACAAAGATGTTTGCATTATTACATGTGAAGAAAATTTTCAAATGTATTTTCAACAACATCGTTGCTCCATCCTTAAGAACAAAATTTATTTACAACTCATGCTTATTTACACATGGACTTCAACTTTCAGCCTCTGCAAGCTTTTAATGCTCGGGCTCCACTTTAACCCTTGCATCTTACTTTTAACGCATTAGCTCCACTTTTAACCTTACTCATAACTTAAACAGAGAGCTTCAATTTTTAACCCGTATAAATTTTTTAAATCATGGTAAGAAACAGTGATACATGAAGATTGTGTGAAAAAAGAAGATCAAGATTTCCAGCCAAAAGTGAAGATCTGTTAGAGTTTTGTCCTAATTATCCTACCATGTTTGAGTTTTATTTCTCTTTTGAAGGAAAAGATAAAGTATTATCATAAATGTTTTAACTTATTTTTTAAAGAGAAATATATCTCTCTTTCATATTTGATTTTTTTTCCTTAGAAGAAATGTATGGATCTCTATAAATTGAAGACTCTTTTTTCCTACTATAAACACAATATTATCCACAATATAAACATTTAAGAGTTTTGTTTATGGAGAGACTTTCTCTCTACAATTTTTATGCTTTTAATTAATCTTTTTTAATTATGTAGGTCAATTGGTTATATCATATAATAAGATATATTTCTATTAGTTTAAGTTTTGGCATTACACCCCGATTATTGTCGATTCCAATATCTGTCTATATCTCGTTATTTATTATATTATTTTAGTATTCAAATGGGATATTTCTTATATTTAGATTGATCATTTTAGTTTCAGGCTTGCACCATATTTTATAAGCTCTTATACTTATGACATCAAGTTTTTCCACATTTACTTTGAAAGACTTATTCTTGAGATATTATGTTTATCACTTACCTTTTGCTTGTTATATTAACTTTGATGGTAAGATATTTGAATTGGCTTACCTATTGATTTGAAACATCGATTGATGTCATCACAACTTATGAGTTTGGATATGACAATTAAAGAGTGATAAGTGTGGTATAGAGATATCAGGCTCTAATACCAAATAAAAGAAATAAACGTAAAAATTTAACTCAATTTGAAAAGCTTATTCAAAGAGTAAAATGTGTCCAACACATAAAAAAAAACACTCAATATGTTTCAATTTATGAGGCACTACTTGAATCTGCACCGACTTAAAGAAATAAAAACTTCTTGCCAGAACATGTCATGGCTAATAATTTAATATTTACATAAACAAAAAGACTTTTAAAATTTACGATTTAATTGGTCGCTTCTTTGACCTCACCTTTTTATAATTTCAAATTTCTCCATACACATTCCTCTCTTTAAGGGAATCTTTCTGTGCATGTTTGTTTCCTTTATGAAAGAAGCATGTTCTTGTTTCTGTCTCCTCTTCGAATCTTCTGTTATTTCATTGAATCACTTTTATACTTTTTTTGTTAATTGCAACTATTATATTTTGTCATTATTCAAGTGTTCTATTCTACACTTCTTAATAATCTAGATAAATGTTCTTTAAATTTTATATGACATTTATTATTATTTTTGTTCACTTTTAAATAAAAGCGTGCAAAAATTGAATCGATTGATAAATTAAATCAAAAAAATGTTATTGCATTAACGATTGTTGAATAGTTTTATAGAAGAAAATTATTGGTTCGTTATTGATTTTTAATATTGGGTTATTGGGTAAAACGATAACTCATTAAGACTATAACATTTTATTACTTTTACCTATACATAAATATTAAATATTAATCTCAATATCTTACTAGTTATGTATGTGTCATTTAACCTTCAATTCATACTTCACTGTGATTTTGAATTCACAACTTTACAATATACAAATCCTCAAAACCTAAATTAAGAATCCCATTTCTCTTAATTTCTTTTTGTGTTACACATTCTATTTATTTTATGAGCATTTGTAAAGTTACATTATTGTCTTGTCTCGTCAAATTTATTAGGGATGTCATATTTTTGTTTTATAAGCATTTTCTTATTGGTTAAATCAAAAATTGAATCGTTAAACACCAAAATCAATAAGTCGAAAACCGATAAAACATATCTTATTGATTTAGCGCATTAAAAATTAAAAACAAATAATACGTAAAATCAAACTGAAGCGAACCGAGGGGTGGGGTGGGGGGTTAGAGCAAGGGAAAAGTATGATTAGAAGTAAATGTATTATTCAAAGTTTTGAATGATTACTGGGCTAAGTTGAAAATCTGACTTGTTCTTTTATTCCCACTTACATAGATGGGATATTTTAAAAAATAATTACCCTTTTTAGTTGTAAATTAGATACGGTAGAACCAATTGAATTAAAAAAAAAAATCAAATATCCGTACATGCATTTTTTTTCTTTCATTTTTTAATTTAATACTATTTTAATATAAATACCTTAATAAGATGTCAATTAATAAAGTTGTGAATTAAATAACAAGAACAACTAAATCACTAAAAAAAAGATGGCTGAGATGAATAAATCTCTTACAGGAACAAAAAAAAAATTATATAACGGAAAAGGTCTCACATTTTAAATTAAGAAATTTCTATAAATATATAAATAAATAGCTCAATTAAGAAAGGGAGCGTATGGTTGTATTGCACAAAGGGGTGCGTATGGTTTAAACGGATTAAAATCGAAAATCGAATTAAATTGATTAAATAAATTTTATTTGATTTAAATTTAGTTTAATTTTATTCTAAAATTTTAAAAAAAAATTAATAACATTTAATTTAATTCTATTTTATTTGTAAAGTTATATAACCAGACACCACTTTCCATTTTTTTTTTAAAGAAGTTTTTTCCAAGTATGCTTGAGGCCAAACGGGTCCTAAATTTTAGGTCCAACAAAATTGTTTCCTCAACACCCTTTCTCTTTTTCACTATCTTTAACAATGTTAATAGTTCCACATGATTGGTTAATAGATAATTAAATCGATTTATCTATAAATAAAATGCTATGGTTTTTACTTATAATTTATGAACTTAGTAATTCACGAGATCATACAGTTCTCTTTCCTGCTCATAACGAAAACATGTATCGTTAGTTGACCCAGTCTATTTTTAAAACAAATAGCTTATACACAATAGTCGAGTAACAAAATATTTTACCTAAATTCAACATGTAACCCTGGAAACTTAAGTTGACTAGGTGGAAACACATTTGGATTAAGCGTTTTACATACCAAGCTCATAAAACAAGGTCTCAATTAACAAATGTTTTGCATCTCGTGTATAATTACGTATATCACTCCTATATATCATGTATACCGGTGTAAAACAATGGAAAGTTGTGGGTGATATACAGAATAGACAAGTGTGATCTCACAAAGCCATTTTATAGGTTTGATTTTTCACTTAAAATAAGTCCAAATCACTTTTAATCTTTCTCAAAATTTGTATATATTCTTGTTTATTCATTTTCAACCTATTCCAATCACACTAACTCTCACATATACATTCAATCAAAGAGAGAAAAAGAAGGAAGAGAAGTTGAAATTCATGAAATCCTCAAATTTAGATCCAATCCATTAAGAATCGAATGACACTTTTGTTTTAGATTTTGTTTTTCGATGAAAAAATAGAATCCTCGTCGACTATAATCAAGAATAAAAATATACGTAATTTTGATATCTCAAAAATTTATATAAATAGATATGTTATAGTGCATGAAACAAGAAGAGGATATTTACCTTCTAATAAATTGTTGATTATAGATGAAAGTTGCCCTACAATGTCAATCTTTTTTAACTTCAATTGTTAAACCTAATCTTAGGCTAAAACAATCACTAGAATTAAATACAAGTGTCAATATCCTAAAAGAAGAATTGAACAATTCAAAAAAAAAACAAGCGATGTCCTTTGATCAAGTCAAGGGTTTTTTTCTTATAAAATAAAAAAAAATTAAAGTACCCTAATCAAAATATCCTTCTCATTAATAATTTCTTTTACGTGTAAAAGAGAAACACGATAATTAATCTGAACCAGAAAAACTTAATAGTAATGGTACATTTATTATATCTCTTCCAAATACATAGAGGAACAAAACAAATAGGCATACATTTCAATATCCACCATAAGGTTGGCCTCTAAAATGTGATAAAGTCTCTAGGACATGATGCTTTGCTTTCTCAAAATTAATCAACCCCATGAACCAAAAATCATGACCATCTATTGTGACAATTTGAATGTACCTTTCTGATGGATTTTCTCTCATCACTACTGGATTGACACTTCCAATGTTTGCCAATGGTATTGCCACCTACATAGACACTCAAGTTAGCCATGAGCTATTCAGCAACAAATTAGTGACGAACGTCGTAGCTAAATCACTTACAAGTGGTATAAGTTAAAGTAACATTTTTCAGTGTAGACAAGTTGAAAGAGCTTGGGTAGTTATACTTTCTGTAACCAAAGAGGGAAATTTTGTTTAAAGCGGTATATTTCTACTTTTTTTTTAAAAAAAACTTGAGGTTATATATCACTAAGCACTAATTCCTTATACTTGTTTGTCTTGATACAATGAGCTAATAGAAAGTGTGTTATGCTTGATTCACAAGACTCTATAATTAAAGTTATTTATTCACCAATCAATTGAAGAGCACACAATAGTTACACGAAAGTCTGTCTTACCTTCTATTATATTAGTAAAAGTCTTTATTTATACCCGACTAACAAAATATAAAAGGTTTTTCCCTATACTAGCAAAAGTCAAAGTTCATCAACTTTGAGTCATCTATCTCGCTACATAATGTACTTCACTACACCCTCGTTCCTTTAATAGAAGTATAAGTCATTAACACGATCTATCTTGATGGGATTTTTCTAGTAAGTAACGAGAAGACTAAAGTATTAAAATTACCTTATAGTAGCTCCAAGCTTCGTGTCCCGATGGAGCTCGAAAAGATAAGGGACGATCACTACAAAAGGCCAGTTTGGTTGATGACAAATAAAGAGTTCCAGCAACAGGACCAGTTATTGTAGAAAGATAACAAGCAAATGTCTTCTTCAACTGTTCATTTGGATCTGTTGCAAAAATCTGCTTGTAAAGTGGTTCAAATCCACCTTCTGTCAATGCCTTGGCTGTCAATTTGAGTTTACCACATGCTGCTTCTGATACTGATGGACCAGTTTTCACTACAAACATGAAACACAAACCAAGATATATCAATATATTTGTTTGCGGAACCAACCACCAATGCTGACAATACGATGTGTAGCCCTTCTCTGAACCTTGTTAACGTGAGATGCTTTATGCATTAAACAATCTTTTTTTTTTTGTAATTTAAAGTTTTAGATATTCCATTCAGAATAATCCCGCAATTTAAGTATTCTTTTTCCACAATGATAAAGGAATTTATGGGCTATCCCCGCTTTCTGTTACTTTACAGAGCAATTCCTCGTACTCCGTGAAAGATGACCAAAACACTAAAAAAACCTAGCCTTTTGACAATAGAAGAATTTTGAAAAATTATTTTCAAATATTTGTTTGACCATGAAATTCGTATAGATTTTGACTATATAGTCTTCAAATATTTTTCAAGTTTACAAAAACTGCTCTAAACAAGCTCAAACCAATTTTTGAAACGTCCACCCAAACAACTTCAATTTTCAAAAATTCAAACTTTTCAAGTTTCAACTTTGACCAAACAAGAGCAAAAGACTACTAGTCTAAATAATTCACACGTAGAACTAAGATTTGAAGTTTATAAATTCGAAATTCTAGCATATGATTCTAAATTAAGAGCTTATGTATACATATTCATAAGATAAATATAGAATTTGAATCAAAATTACTGGATTCACGGAACCTCATAAATTTAATGATAAGAGGCAACAACACTTCCTACACAATTATTGATCACAAAAATATTGTGTGAACTCTTTGCATATATCAATCGAATGAATACAACAAACTATCTTACCAACCACTGTTAAATGATACAATTAAAGAGTTTTTAAGTAATATACAACTGACAGTATAAATAATTTAGAACTCACAGTTACGCCAGACGTTACGGGCCATAGTGTCAGCTTTGTTAGTCCAAGAATTGAAGACATGAGAAACAGAGTCAATTGGATTGTTGTTAGGCTTAACAACAGGGGAATACACAAGGTAAGGTTGTTGAGTTTGAAAATCATGTCTCTTTTCTTGATCATGAAATTTTTTATAGTGATTTGGGACTGATGGAGGACTCATAATATTGGTGGTGCCTAATTTTTGATGATCCATATGAAATAAAATGATCAAATTTTTATTATTCACACAAGAAAAAAGGTTGTAAAAGATTGTGCCTAAGAATTTGCTTTAATTTTAGTAGAATGGGAAAAAAAAATGAATTTTTATATATGTAAAGGAATAAGTATATTCTGAAAAACGCGTTCTCCTTTTGCTTGATTATTATATATTACTATGCTGCAAAATGAAGCTAAGTTTCAATTCAAGCGAGTTGCTCGGATGATGAACGCTTTTCACTTTTAGTTATAAAATTGTGGGTTCGAATCAGCAAAGAAATTATATCAGTCTCTGATAAGAGACATCAAACAAGTACATGCATGTAGGGATCGTTCGATAGGTTGTAAGCAATATCTATATTACTTTCTTCTTCCATTTTTATTTGTCATGTTGTGCTTTTCGAAAGTCAATTTGACTTATAATCAAACTTAAAGTAGATTACATTAATTTGATGTTTTAAACAAAAAATTTAGATATTCAAAAACTATATGAAAAATACTATAAATTGTAATTTTTTGCTTATCAATATGATGAAAAAATATATCTTAACATGTTAGTCATATTTCTTTTAGTTTGACTCTAAAAATAGAAACATGACAAACAATAGTGAATGGAGGGAGTACCTAATTTGAATTGATACGAAGTTTAAAAAATAAAAAAGACTTTTGAATATGATGGTCCTAAATTAAAGGTATGTCAAATATACAAAATTATCTTTTTAATCTTGTGTCCTTAAATATGTCACTTGAAAAGCTAAAAGTAAAATGTTAAATGAAAAAAGTTATTCTTTTTTAAACAGACTAAAATAAATAGTTCATTTTTTTCCAAAACAGAGGGAGTATTTATTTAATCGTGCATTAAAATCCTTTGTATTTATAATACAATAATATTTCATGTATAATGTATTAGTTATACATATTATAATACCAAAAAGGACTGTTTGACAAGTTGAGGAAATATATCAAATAAAATACATAATACATGCATTATTTTTTCTAATATACACTTTTATAGAACGATCATGAGTACCAGAAGATATGTATTTTTCTTACCTTTTTCATTTTTGCAAATTGCACCATAAAATAAGCAACGGTCAAATGGTCAATTGTACTGCATAGATTTAGCTGGAGTACATCAAACTCAAACTATAGAGAGATCCAAGATTTAAGTTGTACATATTTTATCTTTTACATCTTTAATATTGATTTTATTAGTATGGGAAGATCCAAAATTTAAGTTATACGAATTTTATTTTAACATTTTAAACATTGATTTAGTTGTACAACAACATAATCAAAGTAGTACTATTACTAGTGACTCGTGAGATCTGAAAAGAATGGTGTAATATCAGTCTTAATTAGTCCTATTTTTTAGAGATTGTTTGATTGGAAATAAGTCGTGGTATAAGCAAATATATGTCAGTGTCACATCCAAAAAATATTGCATATATAAGTGAAATGATCCAAGAAATGATTAATAATATCCTTGACATAATATGTTGTTATAACTAGTGGTTTAAGATGTCATCGATGTGGGTTTAAACATCTTTAATTAGCCACAAATCTCACTTGCAACAATTTCTTTTCCTTCTGTCTCCACCACTAAAAACAAGTTATCCTGGGTAGATATCAAGTTATCTTGTGGATAGTTATATTGGATAACTTGTCCCCTCACTATGATATAAATGGTGGGATAAGAATTCTGAATACGATTATCTTACACATTGGCCTAAGTAATATATGTATAAAAATTAATATGAAGAAGAGATACGATAGAGAAAAAGATTACAATAACAAATAAAATTCTTGAACAAGATAATCGTTTTGGATGTAATTAATTCATGAGAAAATAAGGAACAGTCAAATGGTGATCACTGCATTCAAACTTATTAGTTTTTTATTTTATTTTTATTTTCTGTGTAGTCTACTGTGTTAAGAAATTACTCATACTTAAGGTGTTTCCTAATATTTCATTGTTTTAATTTATGCAATATAGTTTAAATTTTGAGAGTCGAACAATCTAAATTTGATCATAAATTTAAAATGAAAACTCAAGTATTTTGAAATAAAATTTATGTGACATCTCTTGGATTACAAATTTTAAATAAGTCTATCATTACAACAAAAATAATTAACCTTAATAAATATACATATTGTTAAATATCAATTAAATATTTTGAATTGTGCATTATTTTATACAATTGTTCGATATTCATATTGAAATCTGACTAAATTTGGATTCTCACTAGAAAGTCTCGTAGAGCGCTCTCTATCAAAAGTAACTCTGTACCCTAGATGATTTGAATCTGAAACATCTTGATTAAGGATAAATAAATATTTATCACTTCACCACAATCCTTATTGGCCCGACATTGCGCTTTTTTTTTTGCTATTTATATAAATAAAATAATTCCAATTTATTACTCGATATAAAAGACTTTTTTTCATTTTATAACAACGTAGAAGGGAATAGGTGTGGAATGTATGTCTTCGGAGTTTTGGGGTAAAATTATTTCTTATTTACGAGAGCAAATTAGGTTTCAATTAAACAAAAAAATGGTATTGAAAATTAATTTGGGCGTTGCTCAATCTGGTCAATTGGAAATAACTTGGAGGAGTCGATTATGAGGATTGGGTGGATCTACGACCAATTCAAATTAATTTTAATATAAAAAAATCGAAGAAAATCATGTATGTCATATCTATATCATGTACGTATCTTCTATACGTATATTTTGTGTATCATGTGCATCAATATTATACATAACATACAAGTGATATACATATAATATACACATGACATACAAATAATATGAATTATGACATACAAATTGGATGTATACATGAAATACGAGTAACACAAATAAATATTCGAAGATCAATATAGTATTTGATCAAAACTTCATCAAATGAGCACCTCCAAACTCGAGATATAAGTTTATCAAGATTATTCCATGAATTGAAAAAATACCAAGTGGAAAATTATTGGTAAAACTATCCAATTAGACAAACATTCTTATCATATACACTAATTCTTTCTATAGTTTAAAATAATTACAAATTGTTTTACTAATTAATAATCTCGTACCCAATTTCAAGTAGGTACACTTAGAGACACATTTTTGCTATCATATACACTAAAATAGAGAGATACGTGCGAGAGAAGGAGAGAGGCGAATGAGATAGGAGTGAGGTGAGTGAGATTCTCAGATGCATGTGAATCATTCCCTAAATACATGTGAATCACACTAGACATATCACTAGATACAGGGAGAAAAAAGAGCAAAAGAGGAGAGTGCGAGCCAGAGAGTCAAAGACATATATGTGAATCCACTTAGATACAATATCTATAAGATTGCATGTATCCCAGATGGCATAATACATAAATATGTATTTTAATTTGGTTTCAAATCACATTTATGTCCTTCAATTTTGGGTGTGCACAAGTAACACTTAAACTTATATAAAATTGAACAAATAAACACATATGTCTTACATGACATCCTACATGTTATTTTTTGTCCTACGTGGTGTCCTACATGTATTTTGTCACGTAAGACTCATGGTTTTACTTGTTCAACTTTATATAAGTTTAAGTGTGTATTTGTGCATACCTAAAATTGGAGGGTATAATTATAAAATAAAGTCAAGTTAAAAGACTTATTTACGTATTATGTCTATCTAAGATACATGTATCTGGATGTATCTAAACGCGCTAAATACATGTATTTGAAGTCTAAAATCTGATAAGATTTGTAATTTACAAACATATTTAACATCTAAACTAATGAGGTTTCCATAAGTTATCCAACATTATTTTAATTTATCAAACTCGAATTTCAACGTCATCAATATCATCATCAGTGTCAATTTAGTTTATCGTTCAAGCTCCATAACACCACACATAAATAAAAAATTGAACCTATACATAAGGGCGGCTTGACAGTATTAAAAAAAGATATGTGCCTTAGGCCCCAACTTTAAGGGGCCTCATTTTTAATAATAATAGGTTATAAGTTATTATTTTTAACAAATATTGAATATGTTATAAATCCATTGAATAGTGGATGACCATTTGGTTTATTCATGAACTACTAAATTTATGTATGTGTATTTCCTAGATGCTATAACCCCCTTTTGGATAACAATGTAGATAACTATGTATCTACTACTTAAATGACTTTTGGGAGTGATATCTCAACACTATAAATAGAGATATCACTCTCCATTTGATATACAATTGAATAAGAAGAAAATTCATCTTCTTCTATCTACTTCTCTTGTCTTCTTCTCTTTATGCTTATATTCTTATAGTTTGATTTTATAACACGTTATCAGCACGAGTCTCTAGCCAATTAAGATTGAGTTTTAGTTTTTCTTCAACTCATGTTTTGGTTGATCTCGTTATGAGAATCAAGGTATTATTTGCATAAAATCAGGTATGTATTTTCTAAAATATTTTTATGATTTAGAATACAATAGTATTCAATCACTAACAATTATCAGGAACCAAAGGTATATACAACTATTGGTTGAATATGACATGCTATACAAAACTTCTTAAATGAAAGAAGGTATAAAAATTTAATAGCATGAGTTTGAATATTATTTTGATTGGTTTGAAAGACTCAAAGGGTAAATCATGTTGTACTTCGATCTATTATACCGTCGGTTAAGGGTAAGACGATGGATTCAAGTTTCATCGCACCAAAAGGGTAAGACATCAGGTTAAAGTCCGGATGCACCATAATGAAAAATATTTGAGGATAAGACGATAGATTCAAGTTCTATCGCACCAAAAGGGTAAGACATCAATTTGAGTTTTGATGCACCATGATTGGGTTCAAGTCCTACAGAATTATGGTGTAACACGCCTTATATGGGTAAGACATTGAGTTTGAGCCAATGCATCATAGCGATGATAAAATAATGACTAAGAAAAATAATATATTTTTGATGAAAAGCCTTGAAACTTGTCCCATTGAATTTGCTCCATTCCTTGAAAAGAATGTGGTAGCAACATATAATAACTTTGAAATCTGATGTTGACTTGTTCTATTCTATCGTATGAATGTGGTAGCAGTAAA